GCGGGGCGGTCGAGGCCGAGCAATGGCTGCAAAGTCAATGGCGAAACAGAAGAAGGAACCCGAAGGGGTGAACAGTTCCTGCAGCCAGGGACCAGTCGAGAAAGGGTCCGATCTTCGTCGCATGACCCGACATGTCGAGGACGAGAGCGAGCAGACGGATAAGGATGAGACCGGCGATGACCCGCCGGGCTCAGGCGAGGATTCGGCGGACACGAAGAAGCCGAAGCCGAAGGCCAAAGCAAAGGGGAAGGCANNGGAAGGCAAAGGCCAAGGCTAAGGCTTTGCCGAAGGGCAAAGCCAAGGCCAAGGCCAAAGCCAAGGCCAAGGCCTTGGGGAAGAATGGGAAGTCCCAGGCGAAAGCGCCGCCGGGAGCCGATGATGATGATAATGATGATGTGGAGCCGCCAAGCAAGAAGGCCAAGCTTGATGTGCAGCCGCCGAGCGAGGAGGCCAAGCTTGATGTGCAGCCGCCGAATAAGAAGGCCAAGCTTCAGGCGGGGTCGGCGGGCAAGAAGAGCAACCGCACAGAGGCCTTGGAGACAGCTTTCAAGCAGACCTTCCACTGCTTCACCCAGCAGCGAAAGCCTCCGCCGTTGGTCTTCAAGGACATGAATGCCGATGCTCACTTGTCCAACCCGGACCATATTCGTGATGTGCTCAAGTACGAAGTCATGAAGTGTTTGATCGAATGCCACAAGGCCGGCGAGGCCGACAAGAAAGGCAAGCACAATCACTTGGACAAGGTGATTCCGCCTGGGACCTACCGGTACGAGATGTATTGGACCCGATGCTCGGTGGGGGTCAAGAGGCAGGAGGGCAACGAGATGAAGCAGATCGTCTACTTTTCGAGGCCAACTACATGCACGGGCACGAACCGGGTGTTGGCAAAGTATTTCGCCTGGGGCTTGGATGGTTTCTAAAAACTTAAGGTGTATGTGATGTGCCGTGCATGATTCAGTGGCATGTAGCTCGAAAGTGCACTTGTTTTTGTTGGCCTCAGGTTGCTTTGTGCTCTTCGCTCCCTCAGAACACCCCGCCTACTTGCAGAGCTTTGTGTCATTTCAAAGCCATCGCTGCGACA